CCTTCATGTCCTCTGGCTTCTTTCCCGTGAGTGGTTGATACATATTCTTCTGGTACAGATAATCCTCGATCTGCATCTTCCAGAAGCCAAAGTCCGCCCCATCGAACTTTTCAATTTTCATTTTTCCTTCGTCTGCAGCCATCACTTCGACTCTGATCTGACTTCTCTGCCGGATCGTTTCTGTAAATTTTGTGAACTACCGTGTTTAAGAACACGTCGGTAGATAAATTTGTAGCGCCGACAAATTTGACACTATTCACGTTTTTCACTATTCACGGAATAGTAACCCAAACAAAAAAAATTACAGAATTAACAATCTGGCTCTGATACCAGTTGTTGGGAAAAATACGCTGAAATTTCCATGAAGTCGGATCTATAAAAGTGAAATAATAAAAAAATATGGACACACCAATTTAATAACGGAGTTCGGTCAATAATGCCTACGTCTCCGGACTACTGCAGATATTTTATTAGGAGAAAAGAAAACACTCGTGTTTACAAAACACTCTCGAAACTCACTCACAACTCACAACCAAAAAATACACAAAAGCTAAATTTTTGTTAGCTCTTCCTTTCTCTCTTTTCTTTCTTGTATTTTGTTGTGCTTCTGTTGTTGTGTTTCTTCTGAATCTGGTGCTCTATTTATAGAGTGGGTGTGCACAGCTTTTCATCATCCGTGTACTCCATTTTTCAACAAAATGATGTTGTTGCAATTTTTTATTAAAAGATAACAACCAGCTGCTTTATTTTTCAACACCAGTGGGCTAGTGCAATTGGGATCAGATATGGCTGCTGCCACTTTCAACAAATTGGGGCTGCCTCTTTTTTCAAAATGGGCGGCTGAGTTAACAGTAATCTCATAAAATATATACACACCAGTGTTTTGTGTATACCTTGAAAGAGTACATACAAAACCACCTTAAAATAGGTATTAAGTTTAGTCTAACATTTAATTTTAAAAATAACTAAATACCTTCATTTAGTCCAACATTTAATTTTAGAAAATAACCTTAATATGTTGTTTAGTCCAACATTTAACTTTAAAACATAATTTTAGGTTTAATTGCTAAATAAACCTTAACCTTTTTGTGTTTGCCAATTTTATCTAAATCTTTGGGTAATTGCAATATAATTTCGACCTCAATTTATTTATTGCAAGTCAAACCTAAAACCGATTGGACCTTCAAAAAACTGGTTGATTTGAAGGCGATTCAAACATATCGGAGTTCATATGTACCGGTTCACTCCAAATCTAGGAGGAGACTCATCACCGAAAACTTACATTGGCGTCGAATTTTTGGCTTTGTGCGTGGATATACATTAAATACATGGAAATTGTCAACTTGCTACGTGGATGACATAAAAACTCGTGTCAATGAAAAACTTGGACACAAAATCGATCCACAAATCCCTAAAATAAATCACTCTGCACCCAAATTTGCAATAAGTAAATTGAGGTCGAGATTATATTGTAATTACCCTAAGACTGAGATAAAATTGTCAAACGCAAAAAAGTTAATATTTATTTAGCATTTAACCCATAATTTTAATATTACTATATCGTGCATCAAACAGAATATACACTAATAGACCCAGACTTCTTTTACTTACTAGGATAAGATGAGATAACATTACTTAACCAACATTATTCGGTATTTACTAGCAGTGATCGAGATTGATATAAATTTGTATGTGGCAGGTAGATACACACTTGTACTAATGACTGGTAAGATAATTCTATCACATCTGAAGGTGAGATATTTTTATACCAACACTAAAATAACATTTTTTGTCTAAAAAATCACACGTATAATGTTTATTATACCCTTGAATATTCAAATAATTATCGATTTAATAAAGCAGACTCATGGTATTAAACCATCATATCCCATCTCATCAAGTAAACGAGGCTCCAATAATACATCTAATAACTGACCATTTTACCATTAACAATTGATAGCATTTGCCCAGTAACTCAATGAGAGGGAGATCAAATTATCGCCACCCAACTTACACCAAAAGAAATAGAAATGAATGCCACACATTTTAAAGGGAGTGTATTCAATTGAAATTTTAAGTAACATTTTATAAATATTTTAGATTTTGGATTTTTTAGGATTTTCAAATTTTTGAAGAGTTTTACGAAATCTTAAGTCTGAAGGTAGAATTTGAAATGAGATTTCGTATAAGGTTTTTTGTTTAGAAATCCCAACAAATCTTAAAAAGTCTTAATAAATTCTAGTGTCAAATAAATTGAATACCTCAATATTTTGTAAGGCTTTTTAAAATCCCAATTAAATACCCCAATGTTTTTAAAAGTCTTAACAAATCTAAATTGGTTATACCAGGATTTCTAAAGTATTAAAAAGTCCTTAGAAATCTTAATTGAATACACGTTTCGAACACCATTTTGTAGTACTAAACCCAGAGGGCAGCATAATAAAATTAAAATAATAAAATGTACCCAACTTCGTGACCAGCCCCAGATAAGGAAAAAAAAAAATGT